AAATCTTACCAACCCTGTCAAATATGCAGCAGCTTTTCTACGGTCGTCATCTGGGAGTCCAGTCTGCATGTGTGTGGTGTGCCCAGTGACAACCTAAACCTGGTTTTTGGATAACTGTTGACCTTCACCTCTCTACCAACCCAGGCTCTTAAACATGGCGTGACGCTGCTCTTTAAGTTACCACCCAGGAACCAACGCTGCCTGCAGCTCAACCTAGCTGATGGATCTGAGTGCGGTCGCCAACCTCCAATCACCCCAGACACGAGCCCCAGGACCCCACACCACCCCACGGTACAGCTCTGTCACGCACATACCAAACATTTAAAGTGACATGCAAAGGAAAAAGTAGAAGTCCGTGAAATGGTAAAATGTGCTCAATCTAGGCAGCAGATCAGACCCGATGCGCCTCAATACAAACAGCTGGCACACAATCAGTATGAGTGGGCAGAGTGCTAGATGCTGATACCATATTTTTCAGCATGTTCATATGGAATATATATTACTAACATATTTTAAAGAGAAAAGACTTATATCAGGTCAAACCCAGCAGGACTGTGAAACAACCACAGACTGTAAGTATGGGAATAAACTGCTGTAGTATGTGCAGGTAGAGATTTTCATAAGCAAATGCCAGTGAAATTCTTTCCTCCATATGGATATATATTCAAGAAGGTATTTCAAAATATATTAAAGCAGAAAACAGTTATTTAAAATTTCACAATATTACTGTTTTACTGTATTTTTGATCAAATAAATGCTTCCTTGGTCAGCGTAAGAGACATCAAAACGTTAAAAAAATCGTATGAAAGAAAAGTATTATCAAGTGAAGAAATCACTTTTTTAAATACTATAAAGGATAAACACACACACACACACACACACGTGTATATGTATATATATATATATATATATATAAATATGTATGTTTTGATTTTTTTTCTGAACATATTACCAATAAATTTGTAAATGGAATTGCATGTGTACATGGAATAGCTGGGAGTTTAATACTTCTGTTAAAAAAAAATCACACCCTACCGGGTCAGTTTGACCCTTTTTGCATTCTAGTGGTTGGCAGCTTTGGTTGAGTTCTAATTCTATGTGATTTTTGGATCAATCATATCACATATTATAGACTTCTCCTCCCTTTTCAGCAGGACTGTTTAAAGAAACTTCATGGTGGTACGATAAGATAATGAGCCATTGATATATGCCGGGGGTGTCCATTGCTTATTTGAGCTTTAACCCACCTTGTGCAGTTCGAGCCCGCCGACACAAATGCAAACATATGTGATGCTCTGTGTCAGATGCGATCACTATGACATTAGTCTTTGGAGGTCATTAGCTGGTGTTGGGCCAATTACATTCTTTGCATACTGAACTAATCTGTGGCTCTGCTGTCGAGGTTCCTCACCATTAGTGTGTTTGCTTATCCATTTCCTTCCCTCCCTCCAATTAACATGTCCCTCACTCTGGGTTTGTTCTGCCGGTGTGTGTTGCTGTGACGCCTGTCCATCACCCTGAGTCCCTCTGAAAGGACACTTTAAAAGTGAGGACATTGCTGCCACCTCTCAATCACCGCTGAGTGGTATTGGTACTCAAATGAGTGTTCTTCCCTGGGGTGTGTTTTGTCTTGCTGGGTCTGTTGGCCTGCTCTGTGATGAATCTTAACTGTAAGCAGGGCTGTCACGCATTACCATGGCGAGGGCTGAGGCGAGACAGGCGTCATTGGTGACACGGTTGAAAGCAGGGCGGATTGACAAGTGCAGGGTTCCAGTAGGGGAGTCTCATCCACCACTCTGCCCCTCCTGCGCTTTTCTCTGGGCCCTCTGGAAGAGCCATCAGGCCCCAGAGGCACCCAGCAGGTAGCCTACTCCCTGCAGCCAGGCACAGGGCCTGCCTGCCCTCCTCTTAACCCCAGGAGCATCGACAGCCATGCCAACCACTGCAGGGGTCTTCTGGCCCAGCCCCCTGCTCTTCTCTTTCTCTCTTCTCTGCTTTTTCTTTCCCTCCTTCTTTGACTTTTTATCATTTTTTTTCTTGCTGTCTTCACTAAAGCTCTGACACTTGTTCTTTGCCTTTCAGACCCGCAGCACTCTCATTTTCAGGGTGAGTAAATGATGATAGAATTTTAATTTTAGTGTGAACGATCACCTTATGCTATATTTCTTTTTACTTATTTTTCTCACGTTTTAAATATGCTTTTAATGCATGGAAATGCACAAGTAACAATGACAGAAAAAAAGTACAACTGCCATTAGGTCTGAAAAAATGTAGGTTATTCCAGTAATTCCACTCTGGCACCTTGCCCACATCAGACATGGTTGTCAACACTTCAGGAGAGCTATGTGCTTTCCAGGAGTGCCATTCCACCCTCCACATATCTGCCGCTCTCTTTTCTTTCTTGCTCTCTTTACAGATCCAATCCATCAAAAGAGATACATTTTTAAGGTCCAAATCACTTTTAGAAATATTTGGTCATATAAAACTAATCAAAAATGCCATTTCCATTGAATATTTAAAACTAGAAGATAGCTTTCTACCAAATTGTTGGCAGAAGCCTTGCATTAGGGACAATTAAATCCAATTTATAATGAATTAGCTTCATCTTGTGCTGGTTTAATAGTGATTACTGCATTGAAAAGTCTCAACTGAAATCCATGCTACACTTAAGAGAGAAATTATGAGATATTTATTGTAAATCCTAATGCAAAAATGCATCTTTTTTTTCCTTTAGCTCTGTTCTTGTATATTCATGTGTCTATGTTTTTGTGCAAATGTGTGCAGTAGGTTGACAGCAGTTCATCTGCAGACTAGTCATCCTGCAGTTAATTAGGCAATGAGCAACAGACAGTTAGACACAAAGTTAACCAGGAGCCCAGCTCTGCCTCAGGCCATGCTGAAGTACTCAGCCATGGAATGAGATGGTTGACTTTTCAATGCTCCATTAATATCGGTCCACTTAAACACCAAGCCCAATGTATACAAAAAAGAAAGAACGAAAACATGTCATGTCCCAAGACAGTACTTGAGGAAGTATTTCCTTCAAAAGCAGAGATATCACCAGGTATTTGAATCATACTGCACAGATCAATAGCTCATCACAATTGCTCACAAATTAACATGAAAACAAAACTTCTGAGAATTGTTGATTGGCAAAATGGACATACACATATGACATGAGGCTATATTTTTACTAATAAGACATTAGAGCTTATCAATAAAATGCATTCTGCTGTTTGTCTGTTTTTTCAAAGGTATGTTTAATATTAATATAATTTATATGAATATAGAATCCTTTATTGAATCTCATTAGTCATGTAAAATTGGGGAGAGTGGGTGTGTTGTAACATTTTGTTTCAATGTCTGTAACTCAAACTTTCATAGGCCTATAATATTCCCATATTTATATGCTACAATTAGTTTAGAAATCCACTATTAATCTCTAAACTGTGCGAATTAAGGTCAAATACAAAGAGTGTTGTTGTTCTTATCTATTTAACTACGTTTAAGACTAATAGTAACTTTTCTGCATGAATTCAAGTAAGAAATATTTCTTCAAAACATTTTTTAATTTTAAGTACTAAACACACTGGAAGCGTTTCAAATAATAACTAAAAAGCAAATAAATTTGGAAACAAATATAGAAATACATAAAATGTTGTTAGTTCACAATTGTTACGCCCCGGTCGACCTTAAACAATTTATGAATGAATATATATATATATATTGTTTTGAGTGGCGCCCACCTGTGGAACAAACTATTGTTGCATGGGACATTCCACATATTCCTCAAATTAGTGCTTATAGAGTTTTTCGTAGTCCATTTAGTATTCACATAAAGAGAATGTGTTTGCGGTGACAGCGCACACAAAAAAAATAATTATTATGATCTGTCTAATATCATCCCATTTGTTGGTGACATTTTAATTGCTGATCAAATAAGTTTCACTTGTAGCTTTTCATCTTCAACATTTCATTTGACGGGCGTGGGCTATAAGGCATTTAACCATTTAAAACCCTGCGAATAAGGGGCGACCTCTCTTGAGTGATGGTGGGCCATCAGAATTTACTCTGATGTCTGTTGTTGAAAAGTAACATAATGGAGGGTGGGGCTGATTTATTTTGACGTTTAGTTAGTCCAGATTAGAAATAGATTGATCGACTTGATCTTTTTCTTTGCTTGACTAAATGCCTTCTTGTAATATGTTCGCGCATCTCAAATTTGTATGTATTATTTGAAGTCTATATTTAGTTAACATTAAATGCATTTAAATTACATTTCAGAAAAGTTGTAATTTAGTTGCCTATTATGCGTGATTTAGTATCAAATGCAACATGAAATAACATATCAGAGCTATGTCATTTAATGACAGATTCTTACAGACTTTTATGGGAGTTTAAAGAGCATTGGCAGTGCTTGACAAGAAATGGGACACTTCACACCTGTGTTATCCTTCTGATGTTTTAGGGATTTTTCTTTTGAGAAAAAAAAACGATAATCGTCTGTAATCCTTTTAATATGTCTCACACTTTCCTTTTGCAATACACAAGTCAGCGGCAAACCAGTTCTGCAGTCTGCTGCGTTGCACAATAGCCTCGGTTTCAGTTTTGAAATCAGAATTAACCAATTTTAGCCACTTGATGTTTGATAATTGTAGGTTTGGATGAGAATATACATTTTTATTATTATGTTTTTTTATACATTTTATTTTATTTTTATTTCCTGTTCAATAAAGTCCTAAATGAATGATTATAATTAATTTGACATTTTATTATTAACCGAACATATCAATGCGCGCTCCTCTAAACTCCGATTGCTTATGGACTCAGGTGAAGGCATATTAAAAATGGTTCGGGGTGGGGGTTTGAGTGAGACCCCCCCTGCTTTTGTTCTATTGAAAAGGGGGCTTGTTCCTCCAGGACCAACCCTACCATTTTAACCAGGGGTGTCAGTGCGAGCGGGGTTTACATTGGAGACTGACTGGCAATGGGAGAAGAGGAGGGGATAAGAGAGTCCAGCAGCACTGCTTCTTGAAGAAAGCTCATCAGATGCACTGTTCTGCCTCCTCTGACTGACATTCACGCAGGAGTCAGACTGGATCTATTTCTGCTGCGCTCCTCACCTTCATGGAGCACGGGACTCGAGTCTGTATGATTAGGTGCATCAGAAGCTCTTTCGCTAAAACTTGAAAAGTAAACCGTTTACATGCTGTGAGTTTTGCGTTAAGTGCACTTATGTGTTGTTCTCGTTCTTATGAAGGAAACCCAGTTAGTGCTTATACTTGTCACTGGTGTCAGTCTGAAAATAATATCCTGGACATTTGTTCTGCTTCTGAGCAGCAGATTTAGTCATTTGCCAGTTGATCTGTTCATCATATGTTGCGAGTCACAGTTTGGATAACAGCGCAGGACTTTATACATTTCAACTGGAAACCCTGATTTTTCTTTTTTAAGTCTCTGCAAATTACACACTTTTTTTTTCTTTCTGTGAGGCCCTTCCACTCCAGCAACATGAGATTCATTCCATCACGACTGAGTTATCTGTAAGTATATTTCCTTTATTATTTGTTCTCAAACATTTACAGCTTCGCTTTCCAAAGTCTAATGTGAGATTTTCTCTCTTGCAGATTCCTTCACCTCTTTGCGTTTTGCTACTATGCTCAGGTATGTGCAACATCTTTAAATATGCTTATATACTGTTGTTTTAATTTACATACATATATTGATAGAGAAATTACATATATTGTTAGAGAAAGGCACCACTACTCTAATATATCAATTCCATACTTAGATACTTTAATATAGCTACAGAATGCGTAAACACGCGCTCCTAAATTAAGATGTATATTTTATTTATATATACAATTGTTTTGCATAGAAATGCACGTATAGCCATTCAATTAAAAGGCAGTAAAAGTGCGATGGGAGAGGAGGTTCTTATCAGATGGGTATCACAGTGGGCGCTGTAACCTGGCAGGTAACACTAACATACTGGCACAGGCGCGTGGGCATGAGCGCGTGAAGTATGCCAGCCTTGAGTCGATGATGAAACATGTCGTGGGCACATAATAACATAAAGGGCTCAACTTGGGCGTTTAGGACAGTTTGGCTCAAAATGTAATTCATTTTAAGCCACAAACGACACTTTTCTTAACAGCGCATTTTGTTTTCTAAAATCCAAAATTAAAAATGAAGTGAATAGCCTACGTTACGGATACCTTTTCTCATTTCAATTGCATCAGGCCTATTTTAAATGATTATATTGGAGCACGGTGTAATTTATAGGCCCGTATGAACGAATGATGAAGCAGTTTGTGCAGGTATTGATTATATGGTATTTAATTTCTGGCAGGTAACCATTCAGTCCCCGCCTAATTTTACACAGCATGTGAGTGAGCAAAGTAAGGTGACGGACCGGGTCAGCCGTAGACTAATCCGGACCTACCAGCTTTACAGTCGAACCAGCGGCAAGCACGTGCAAGTTCTGGCCAACAAGAAAATCAACGCCATGGCCGAAGATGGTGACGCTCATGGTAAGAGCATCCTCCTTATTTGTCTCACATAAAATCATGAAGTTTGTTTATTCAAACCATGAAACCTTTTGTGATGCTTTGGCGTTTTGAGGAATTATTTTAAATGCATTTTGCATGTGAATATTTTGCTAAAAACATTGAAGAACATGTTTAATACGGTTCTTCAGTTGTTCTTTTTAGCTGCATGGGGTCTTGACTATATGGTTCTTTGGAGATCAAAAAGCTATTTCATTGTAGGTTCTTTTATGTGTCCAAAGCCCCACTACATAGATGTTTTCTGAAAAACTAGAGAATAAAAAGGTTAACTCTAGATGATATCAGGCTGTAAAAGCCATTTTTGGTTCTAACTGGAACTTTATTTGTGCTTGCTTATTTTGTGGATCTCTATGGTACACTGCAATTGAATTGTTGGGCATCTGGTCAGTTGGTGAAGTTAAAAAAGCAGTGGAGTGCAAAAAATGTTAAATGGATTCTAGATTGTTGAAGGAGAGTCTCTAGAGAGACGTGCGGATCTGGAAGAGCCATTAGAACTCATCTTACTTCAACCATCTGAACATTTCTTGAAGAACGTTCCCCTCCTCTCCCGACCAGCTCAGGATGAAAATATGTCTAGCCGAATTCTGACCCTCACATTTGCTTTCTACGGTCATTCGGTCCTGATGACAGATCTCATAGAGCCTAAATACCCTATCTAACGGTTTTAAGTATTTCTAGGGTCAGTTTTATGATTAATGTGTATCTTTGGTTTTATAAAATAATACATCAGTGATTAAGTGTTCTATTAGTTGATCATTTATACAATCATAAGTTTGGTTAAAATATTGTAAAAAAAATAAAAAAATTCAAATAGATAATCATTACGAACAAAATAAAAACATTTCTCTTACATATTTAATTTGTTACTTTACCTAAATCAGATCTCTATTATTTGCACCTCTCACTTATGTGGTTTCGCCACATTCAAACCCAATAATTACCAGCTCTGTTGTGGTATTTTTGGAAGCCTGGCTCTAGCTCTGCATGGTTTTGGTGACATCCATGTCACCTGAGCATGTTGTAGAGACAGCAGGGCTGTTCGTTTGGGCCAGTGCCTGGCTCCAGCTCTGGGCTTGTGGTTAGGCTCTTCACCAGCAGGTTATCTGACCCCCTCCATTTGAACCGTAACTCTTTACGGTCACTCAGAGCACAGGGGCTGAATCAGAGAATGACTGCAAGTGCTAGTTCTTGGCATGGAGACTATATATCATGGAAAGTCAGCTTCCCTGCAAACACTGCCCTGATTTTCTTATATTTTCTTGTAATGCTTTTTCTTATAATACATTTTCTTATAATAATATTTCATAATTAATAAAAAATAAATAAAAAAGCAAGTTTTAAAATTATTGTTATGTTTATTATTATTATTATTATTATTATTATTATTATTATTTATGGTGCTTTTAACTCAAATATTTCAGAGTTTTTTGTGTGTGTTTTTTTTTGGTTCATGAATGATGTGATAACAATTCACACATTGTTTATGTACTTACAAAGAAGGTAAAAAGTTGAAAGTCCTGCCAGGAAACCTTTGGTTCCTTCCAGAAGAATTGAAGTGCACATGTTTTTATCATCTTGCTAGAATTTAAGCTTACAAAAATCCTAAAAGTAGTCCCTTTAGATTTCACGTTTATGCCGGTATATCTCTGTGTGCATATGTGCACGTGTGTTTACTCATGAATTTTTCCTATTGATTGACTGATCGTAATTTAGATTTTCCAAGTCATCTAATAATAATAAAAAAAAACTTTTTTTCTTTTTCCAGCCAAGCTCATAGTGGAGACGGATACATTTGGGAGTCGAGTTCGAATTAAAGGAGCTGAAACGGGATTCTACATCTGTATGAACAGGAGAGGGAAACTGATTGGCAAGGTATGAGAAAAAGTCATTATATAATAATTGTATGACTGATAATAGTGCTCAGTTTACATACGCTGTAATACAAACACAGCATATGTTTCAGTCATTTTTCTGTTCAGATTGAAAGTTTTTTTATGAATGAGAATAAGAAGAGAAAGTGAACGATATACCAGATAAATGAGAAATTCAGAAACATCACTCATATAGTCATGTAGTAGATTCAGCATTCAATTGCTTGTGGACGTCCCTGATTTTATGATTATTAAGGAGATTGTTCAAAAAAATCAAACAAGAGTTTTATGTCTTTTCTGTTAGTGGGCACCAGACGATTCCTGGTTGCAGTAGGTAAAATCGAGTGTGAAGAATGGGATCTTTCTTCATTTTTTTTTTTTAGCTGGCTACTCTTGTTCCAATGTGGATTTGTGCCTTCTCCTTGCTGTGAATGGTAATAAAGTGGGATGGAGGTTCGGCCCCCACCTCCCAGCACCCTGCCAGGTGGACCATCTGCTTGGCACCCCTGATCTTATGCTATCTGACATATTGGCCGCCCAACGACAGCCTGCATGAGAGAGGGTTTTTTCTGTTGTTGCTTTTTTTATTGGTTGATATGCAAGCGTTTTGGATTTGAGATTTTTAACAGGCCATTTTGTTGAGAGGCTGGGGAAAGGTTTGGACTCCTGGTTTGGCTCCTTACCCCGTTTGCATTTACTAGCCGGATAACATTTAAAGGCCCTGTTGTTATCAACGTAAAATGATGCAATGCATCTAGGCAAAACTACACTATATAGCTTATCCATATAGTGTTTCTGTTGTTCAGTGTCCTGGGGAAATTAAAATATTACCCTAATACATTCTGGACTCAACATAATAAGGTTTCTGGCTGCCTTTATAATGAACATTAAAAGGACTATTTTTCTCAGAGGATGAATCTGCACTGGTGTTTACTGAAAGGGGAAAGTCACTGGCTTCTGCTGTCATTTCTCCCTCTTGATCTTGGATCGTAATGACTTAAGCATATGCTGTGTGCGTGTGGGGAAGCCCTATGTAAACTTCAGCAGACCTTTTCCAAAATACTTTTCGAGTATTCAGGAGCTAAAATGCTGTCTTTATCTTGTCCTCACAGAAAAACGGTCAGGGGAAAGACTGCATTTTCACAGAGATAGTCTTGGAGAACAATTACACAGCTCTACAGAATGTGAAGTATGAAGGCTGGTACATGGCCTTCACACGCAAAGGCAGACCCCGCAAGGGCTCCAAAACCAGGCAACACCAGCGGGAAGTCCACTTCATGAAGAGGCTGCCCAAGGGACACCAAATCGCAGAGCACAGACCCTTTGATTTCATCAACTACCCTTTCAACAGACGGACTAAACGCACCCGCTACTCAGGAGAGCGTTGAAGAGTGAAGCCGGAGAAAAGGAGAGGACAGAGAGCGAGAGACTTTCTCAAACAATGAACAGACTCTTCTCGTGGACTCCTAAAAACATTTTTTGTACTGAGCAACAATATACCTAATCTTTAGTTTTCTATGAATTTTCAGAAATAACAAAAAAAGAAAGAAAAAAAAAAAGAGATCTATTTTTGTACCCCTGACTTTTAGTACTGACCTGTGTAAGAGTATAGAAAAGCGAAGCACGGGACGTGTAAGTGCTGACATATTAGTAGTGCGTGGACTTCATCCGTCTATCCTCTCTTCTGCTTTGGTTTCATTTGATTTCGATGGTTTTAGAGTAATTTATAACTCTTCGTATTGCTGCTCAAGGGGACTTGAAGGGCCTGAGAGAATGCACTGACAACACAAGGCTGTATTCGGTTACACAGGCAGCCGGGGCACCTCGCGACCACCCAGCGATAAGATACCCAGCTCATCTCTCAGTAACCTCTCTGGTTCTTGATTCTAGAACTCTCTGGAGATAAACACGGTTAAAGCAAACAGAGCTTTAAATACATATTTAAATGTGGCAGCTACATTTTGATTATCGCGGGTTTCCTACCGTGGTTTAAACGGTAAATTCCAAGGTGTATAAATGTATTGTATGGACTGTAGGAAAAGGTTTTGTTCTTTGTTGCATTTTGTTTGTCTGGTTTTTTTATACAAATATAAATATATTTTTATTTGAGGATGTGTAAAATAATTTTAATGATGGAAATATTTATTTTAAAACCTGTAATAAATTTACCTTAGGATACTGACGTCTTTTGTCTAATATGTTCTGTTCTAATATGCAATTTTCCAAAGATTATTTAAAAAATTTAAATTCTTCTGTGGAACATAAAAATGTTCTGTGAAACATAAAAGAAGATATTTAAAAAAAAAAGTTTGTCCATGGACTGATTATTTGGACAAAAAAAAAAACATTTTTCAAAATATCTTCTTTTTGTTTTCCACAGAAGAAATAAAGTAATTTCAGGATTGAAATTACATGATGGTGAGTAAATGATAGCATAATTTCATTTTTGGGTGAACTATCCCTTTAAATAACACATGAAATATGTGTATAAAAGGCATCTATACATAGTTTAAAATTGCCAAAAGGTATTTTCCAGAAGCGTTTTAGACGTGTCAATGGACTCGTCTATAGAAAATTAGGCCAGTGTGGTCTTTGTCATTATGCAATAGCATCATAATAAATACCGCCATTGTTTGCATAACCCTTCTGGTTAGAGACCAGTACAGAGTGAGATGGAGATACTGGGTCTCTCCCCCCAGAATGTTTGGAATGGCACAGCTCAGGTCAACAGCTCAGTAGGACTGTCTCTCCAGGGGGGCTACACTGTTTGGTCTCTCCTCTGGTTGAACCAGACACACTACGGATCCCTGGCCCTGTCTCCTCACCCTTGCTCAGGTGTTTTTGTTTAATCTCAGACCTTTAACTCCCTGTAGCTTAATCTGATTGGAAGGGTATCTGTTTTGTCCGAGCAGGGGTGCTGTGTGTTTGCAGACAGGGTTCCAAGGAGCCGAAAACCAAGATCAGAGGGCAGCGTGTAGTGAGAAAACGAGAACCGGAGATCTGTGGAGTGAGATCACTATCACGTTCTTGTCTGTGATGAGGAAGATTATTAATGACTCCTCTCTGCCTGAGATACACATTACTGCAGTTATAATGCTATGTACATTATGATCAAGAGGGGAGAAAAATAGACATTTTCCAATCCCTTTTTAATCAAATTAATTGCATCATAAAATTCTAACCGATTCAGCCAAAAATGATCCTCTAATTACACACATTGACACATCTAACGCATCATTGAAAAATGTGTAATGCAGGTACTTTAGCAAAGGCTGGCATTGTTTTTATGGTGCAATACGCCATGTGTTCTGCCTCATGTTATGCTAGTAGCTCAGTCAGGGTGCAGAGGTCAAACTCCTAGAAAGGCCAGAGCTTCAGAAGGTTTCTTTGACTTTCTAGTATGCTGGTTTAGTTCCATTCAACTGTGATGGACAAACAGCTAAACCAGTTCAATGGATGGTAATCAATTAAGGAAAAAAGCTTCTTGATGTTTCGAAATAAACTATAGGAGACCATCCGTATACATTTATAATCTAAAACTGACAAACAAAGAAGGGCAGACTGAAGATTATAGTGTAAATCTTCATTTAAATAGATTTAAATTTATAGAAAAAGATTTTATGATTTTAATTCATTTTTGAAAAGGGATTTGGAAAACATCAACAAATGCATATACGCATACACTGTAAAAATGATTTTTCAAAGATCACTGGAGCATGTTTTATAAGAAAATACTATTTAATTTTTTTGTACTTCAAAATTCTGTTTAATTCAATGTGTTAATTGCAGTTTCTTTGTAATTGTTTGTGAAATTTACTAGCGGTTTCTAAGTAAAAATTGTTTCTACACCATTTTTTTTTCTCGATATATGCAAATGTTTCAAGCAGCTGAAACATATTCTGAGGTGTGACATGCTATAATTCATCTAAAACAATTTAAAGCTATTTTTGTAATATTTAAATATTTCAAAATTCATTTGTCACATCACAAGACCATTTAAAGGAAAGTAGTAGGGAAACATGTGATTAAAAATGATGATAAACTAAATGTTGACCAATAACTGGATCTAAAATACACTTTTTGATTAGATTTAAACCCCAAATTGTAATGTTAAAAAGATACATGTTTGATGTCCTACACACATTTGATACTACCAATAAAGCTTGTTTAGATTTTAGTAAAAGAACCACCGGAACCACCAATTGACTCCCTGTGTTTTCACATTGATGATGTCTGCTATTGATTAACAGTCCTTGATAATTTGCCACGGTTATTCTGCATTATCAGTCCTCAGTTTCCCCTGAAATTTGTCTCCATGACCATAAAGTTGTAAGAAACCCAGCGGATCCAGCAGGTTGTGGGAAAAATCGCACCTTCTGTGCAGCTTGTGATGCCATGCAAATGAAGAGCAATTCCACTGAGAAAGAGGGGACGCAAAACTGCTTTCATCCATTTTATTGAGCTGCAACCGTCATCCTTAACCCCTGATAAACAAACAGGGCTACCTTCTTAATTTGCTTAGGGAGTAATTTAGACTTGTACAAGCCCCCCTGCTGAACTGGCAGAATGGCAGGGGTGAGAGAATGGGATGACCCAGACCTCTAAGCTGCCTTTACTTCACATTCTGCCTAACCCTGGTCATAAAACCCTTCCAGCAAATTGGAGCTCAATGGAGGAAACATGGGTTGAAATGATGCAGGTCCACCTTGAGTGCTCTTTCTAGCACCCACATGACATGTGTAGTGTTCGCAATGAGCAAGCTATTAAAAGCCTATAGTAAAATTCTGAACTTTTTATAATAAATCTGATGAATCATTTAAACACTGATGCATAGAAAAGAGAGGAGCATGTCAGTATGGTTTTATCAAAGCATGAGATAGAAATTTATGCTCGTGTCACAAAAATAGCAATACTATACTGGCAGTATTCCTAGAGTGCACAAGCCAGCAGCCAATCACTAAGTTATAATTAACATGCAAACATTATTCAAAGAGAAGATGGGACATGACAGTTTGACTGTTTGTATATGGGACATATGGAGGAACTGTTGACTTTTCCAATTGGAGCTGTAATCTTTTGTTTGCCCATGCATTTCTAAGGCTGATTGTCTGAATGATCTGAACAATTACAGGCTAAATGTGTTTGCCAGCCACACAGAGCACCCTGCACCCCTCTAAAAAGATCAAAAGCGAAGATTCCCCCTCCTTCTTAATCTCCTTTCAGTCATGACAATTCAGCTGGAAAGCCAACCATAAATGATTTTTTAGTACTTCCAGTATCTGGGGCACAGTTATTTATAGTGCCTGAGTTTCAGAGGTTAATACATTGAGGAACGACATGTTTCATCTACAGGAACTGTTCACAAATATGAAAATTTAAAAAATGATTAATTAATTTTATGTGTAACATTTTTTTGAAGATTCTTTTAGGCAAACCAGTTTATAGTGACCACATTTGTCAAGCATTTAAAGGGAGAAAAAAATGTCATTATACGTGTCATTATAGTGCACCAAGTCATAGGATAGCTTTGTATGAGAAACAGACAGAAATGTAAGTCATTATTAACTGATAATCTTCCCCTCCAGTGAGCTGTTAACTTGAGAATTGCTGTGACTTGATCATTGAGTCAGAGAGTTTAACTCAAGAACCGGATCAGTCCAAGTTGTGAATGAATCACTAGGAATGTTTTTAACAGGATCAGTGATTCACTGAAAAGATCCAACTCAGACTGATTCAAATCGAATCAAACATCTCTCTTATGAATGTACCAAACAGAGCTTTTACATGAATATGACTTAAATTTGGTTGTTCTGTTTGCATTATAGCACCTGAGACTTACAAACAATTGAGTCATTTGATGTTAGAATGAAAAAAATTATGACAGAATTTAAATTTTTGGGGAAAATATACCATTGAAAAATGTTTTGGAAGAAATTAATACTTTTATTCTGCAAGGATGCATTAAATTGATCAAAAGTGACAGTAAAGACAGTTTATAATGTTACAAAAATTTGATTTAAAATAAATGCTGTTCTTCCGAACTCTCTATTCATAAAAGAATCCTGAAAAATGTATTACAGTTTCCACAAAGATATTACATTACACAAATGCTTTCAACATTGATGATAATAATAAGAAATGTTTCTTGAGCTCCACATAATTTGAATGATTTCTGAAGGATTTTGTGACACTGAAGACTGAAGTAATGGCTGCTGAAAATTCAGATTTTCCTTTCCAGGAATAAATTACATTTCAAAATTTAACATAGAAAACAGTTCATTTAAATTGTAATACTATTTAACAATATTACTGTTTTTACTGTATTTTTGATTAAAAAAATGCAGCCTTGGCGAGAATAAGATACTTCTTTCAAAAACATTTAAAAAAATCTTACCAGCCTCAAACTTTTGAACATTAGCTTAGAACCCAATACCCAAAGCAATAACTTCACAATGTACATTGACAAGCAAAAATATCTGATATCTCCTTGATTTCCATTTCCTTCTCGATGTTTTAAACATCTTAACAATACACTCATTTATAATTGTCAAAAGTGTCATCTTGTGACACATTTTAAGGGTTTATACCAAACTCCTATTGTTGCAACTTGCAAAAGAGATGATCTGTTGGTAAAACAGGCAAAACATTAGGAATGAAGTCTGTAAACCATGATTTCTATAGCAACAGAGAGAGAGAGAGAGAGAGAGAGAGAGAGAGAGAGAGAGTTCCTGTGGTGCGACTGAAACAAATGGTTTTGTTACATTTTGCATGTCATTGGAGCTCTTTAAATGTAGGCCCTATAAATACACTTACAGTACAAGTGTGAGACCACAAACTCTTGAGGAGCACCAAGTCTGATTCATTTCAGTTAATTTGGCGGACAGTTTTTATATTTAATCAATCAAAAAACTTGCAGCATTTTAGTTTGATAGTAGAGGATGCAGGTAAATGCTGCTGTACTGTACATTTACTGCTAACTGAGAGTGTAATCAGAGTTTTTATGCCACAAAATTATGGGTCTTATTAAATTATATAATTTCTTAAAAAAAATCTTTCTTACAGATCTCAAACTTATAAATGGCTGTGTGTATATAATAATTAATATATTTGTATACAGCTGTGACAACATTTTTTAAAACTATCAACACAAATTAAAATGAAAACAAAATATAAAATGTTATATTTTATAATTAACTAAAATCATGGGTCTTATTAAATTATATAATGGAATAAACATACAATTAAAATGAATTTGTACCCTTAAAGTGTGTGTGTGTGTGTGTGTGTGTGTGTGTGTGTGTGTGTGTGTGTGTGTGTGTGTGTGTGTGTATATGT